ATTGAACTCAATGGTAAATTACCCAATGTTTTGGTCACCAAAGCTGGGTATAAGGAAACCGGTTTAGGGCCACTCCATCTAACTTCCTGCCTCCATGCATTACACATGGGGAAAAACTTTAAGACGCCCCGCCATGATTCGAACTTGATTTCAGCATCGCTAACCATTCTACCAATCACGGCGGCTCCCAGTATCAATCAATATGCCCAGTAGCCATTTATTTCCTGCAAACTACAATAAACTATACAAGTCAGCAGAAAGAAAAACTGAACGTCATATTGTGATACAATGCAAAATTAAGGGAAGAACAACTGAAAAGGAAACTCAGATTGGCATAGGTTCACGCTCCCTTTTCTTTACTTAATTTTACATCAGTCAGTACAAAGATACATGCATACAGATATAAAAGAACTTCTTTTTAAAAAAAGAATACATGTCTCGATATATTTGGGAGAAGGCAGTATATTATTAAGTAATCTAATTAAAACCTAAATTCAAAGTTAAACTCTGTAGTGGAAGCACATAATACAAGGCATCAAATATAATTTGATTTAATCGCATCAACATTTATATTAACGTAAGATCGTAAATTATTATTAAATCTCTTAGCTTGTTCCAAGTAGGTTAAGGCAGAAGCTAGACAAGCAACTCTGTAATTACACAGATGATCGAGGTATTGTTAAATTCGGGTAACTGTTACGTTCCACCCAATATTGAGGAAGAACAGTTCGGGGAAGGGCGGTCGGTGAGTTTCCCACCTCTCTTGCCCTATCATAAAATCTCTCCAGAGGAATTTCGGCTCGCCGTGTATTTTGAATGCTTCCTAGCCGCATAGACACTATACGCTTACAAACATCCATGCCATTTCCAGGATTCGAAGCCAGGCAGTCAGCGTCGCTAACTACTATACCGGTGGCTAGGCAGGAGTTTGTTCTAAGCCAGTGGTCGTCCGACGACCACTGGCTCTTTAGACACTTGAATGAGGCTCTGACACGAATCGATTTCGACTACGTGCGAACTAGCGGGGTTTCGGTCTGGTTCACGCAGCGCAGGCGGTTGCGGTGTCTGCAGAGCGAAGGACACACACTCGACTAATGCGCAAGTTCAGCGGGAGGGAGCCAATCACTGCTTGTCAGTCAGCCAAGTGGCGTTGTCAGCGCTTGGAGTCGGAAAGTACTGAAAAGTCTCACGCGCAGAAGAGACTACCTACTCGGTGCGTTATGCTACTCGTATCTTTCAACTAGCTGCAGATCTTACCAGTATTTTTGGCATCAATTTAAATAAGTTGATTTAACTTTATGTTCCTGATTTTATTGTTATAAAAAGGATTGGATTTGATTATTTAATAATGGCAAAGCACACGAGGGCTATCTGCCTAAAGGGAGGGATGCCTTCGTGGAGGACTTTCTAAGGGGAACTGGTTCGTATACACGTTACACATGGGGAAAACCTCGAAAACGCCCATGCAGACAGCCCGTTCGCGGGATTCGAACCTCGGACCGAACTACCAGTATTCAGCGTCTTTTTGTTATAAAAAGAAACGGGTTTCTGGGTGCCACCTATTTGACTTAGCTACAAAATTATGTCAAACAGAAGCAAATGAAAAACGGAAGACGAAAACCGTGAATTTAAAGTTGAATGGACTGAATCCGTTCACGTTTATGCAAAACTTAAATGGCCTTCCGACCTGTTTTATCTGTCAAGAAAGACTGGCGAATAACAAAAAAATCAAATTTGGAAATACACTTTATAACTAAACACGCGTCAATTGGCAGTAAATATTCCACCGATGATGCGACGAAGAAAGCAGTTGAAAACTTCAAAAGAGGCAATATTAATTAAGTTCGTATTTAATTATTTGGTGCAATCTTCAAACAATGTTAATAATGCATGCTTTATTATTAGTAGAGCGATTGCTAAGAGAGACAAACCATATATAGATGATGCAAACGTTAAAAGTTGTTTTATAAATGCAACCAGAGAGCTATTCACGGATTTCATGAATAAGGCGGAAAATGTGTTTCAAAAAATTAAAGAGTTACCACTGTCTGTTAAAACAGTATTACCAATCATCAAATCAAAAATCCTAAAGTGGTTTCAGCATTATCAATAGCTATTGACAAATCTTGTGATATAACTGACACAGTGCCAAGTTTCACTTTTTTTTCCATTTATTTGGTCTACGGACCCTAAAGAACAAATTTCAGGTTTATTGCCACAGAAACGTAAACCCACCAGCAGCCGGAGGGGGGGGGGAAATCGATTAACACTAGTAATTACGACCTGGGTTCGGAGCCAGGCAAACGAGCTGGTTGCATGAGAGTTTTGGTGTTTTCCCCATGTGTAAAGTGTATACGAACGAATTTTCCTAAGAACGTCCTGCATGAAGGTATTCCCCCTAGTGTGCTTTGCCATAATAAACTAAAACCGAAACCAAGCCACTGAAGCGTCAAACACGTGGCGAGGATATTGCAAATGCTGTCACAGAATGCATGGAGAAACATCGCATTCCACTTGATAAAACTGTTTCAATTTCAAAACAATGTTTTGTTTTATTCTTTTTCCATGTGTTTCGAAGGTGTGAAGGGAAAATTTTGCTACATTAAAGATTCGATTTTTTGGTTTTATATGAATTTTAATGTCTCAAATGAAAATTTAATTGGTTCTTTTTTCAGTTTTTGATCTAAAATGAACCAGGAGAACGAAACACTTTTTCGAAAAATATTAATCGACTTTTATGAAGCTTCATTTCATTTTCCCCTGATGAGTTATGAATTGGAGTTTTAGTAAAAGGAGATGAACTTTTTTATATTTTTATTATCCTGTATATTTTTTCCCTTTTGCATTTTTATTTTTCGAGTTTGTACTGCTATGAATTTTTATTTTGTTTTTGATTTGTTTAGATATTTTGTTAAACCTCTTATACACGGTTGCAATTATTAATATTGTTGAGGAACTGCCTTGCTTTGACTCCAATTTACTTTTAAGTTTAGATGCTTTAAGTTTATTTTACTTCTATATTGCAGTTATAGCGCAGGACGAGTATAATAATTTTGTTTTTAATTTTTAGTCTCTTATTCTGTTTCTTTATGTATGTATATATAGATATATATAGATATAGATATAGATATATGTATATATGTAATATCTAAATATACTGCTTTGTGAAGTAACTGTATATCCTTATGTGCCTAACTATACATATATATGAGTAATATAAATTCTGTAAATATCTTGATGATTGGGAGATAGCTGGTGACGTTGGTAACACTTCTTCGCGTAGATACAAAGAACGAAGGCTTTTTCGCGTAGATACAAAGGTGAGATTTACAGAGAGATCTGGCTGAGGACAAAATATAATTTATTATGTTTCACATATTCTTTTCACATCATCATGGGAGACTTATGCATTCCACAATTTTGTATAGCTCATCACACCTTTAGACACTGGACGACACAGAAAACGAGCGACGCGTGCTAACATAGCAAGGGAAAATAAAAAAGTACGTACGCATTCAGCAGTAGCGAGAGATATATAGTAGTCAAAGGTTTTTTTTTAATTTGAGTGGATAAGAGCTGTTCGCATTGCAGAGTCAAATAAGAAAACATGAAACAGATTAATTTTGAAAGGACGCAGTCCAGTTTAAGTTATTATAAGCAATTAAAATGCCGTTTCTGGTCGAATATAAACGAATCTTCCATTTACGACGATGACGCATTTTAGAAGACATTTTATGAGATAAAGTAGAAATTGCATGTCAGGTCACTTCATGTAAATGATCCTAATAGGTTGATTCTTATAACGTAGTTTAATTCAAGCTCACTTCACTCACCCACGAGGATAATCTAATGTATATTTTGAGCTAAATTATGCTAGTACGTTTATTTGAAAAGCAAACATTTTAACTATTCTAGTGTGATATTTAAAATGTAAACTACGCTAGTTTGTCAAGTAGTTAAACTATGCTTGTATGCTTATTTAAAATGTAAATGCAAATAATAAATTATATTAATGTATATTTTTAACGTTACGCTGCGCATAACGACAAATTTCGTTTTCAGAAATGCATTTTAAGAAAATAAGGCTGCCTTATATTCCGACCAGGAACGATAATGGATTATCATCTAATTATGAAATAAAAGCTACACTTATAATAACTTTCTTCTTCATAGATATCAAAGTTTTAGGTAGCCTGTTTTATCCTTGTAGGACAGTGATACGGCGACCGCTGGAAAAATCATTAAAACTACAAATTCATATTAATATCCTTTTTAATTTTGGACTCCTACGAATAATATTTATGCTATTATATTCACAAATTAATATTAATTAATAGTGTTACATTAGTATACTTTGCCCTATTGGATTTAATATTTTTTGTTACTGCAGTTATCCCTATTCCAGTTAATACTGTATTCTTTTATTTACACTGAATTTGCTAAGTGTAGATTTTATTAAATACTTTTGCGTTAAGAACTAACGCTTATGAACAGTTTATTGTTTATGGACATTACATATTTTATCTTCAAGTTTCTGTCGAATAAAAGAAATGGAGATAAAAAATAAAAATAATACGAAGCATGCGCCAAACGACATATTCACAGAATTTCCTTTTAAATCAATATAAATAACATTTAGAGTTAAGTGCTAAGTTTAAAAAATAGCATGAGTGCTTTGATACATATTCGGCCATTCGTTTACTTTAAAATTAAGAATGAAAAGTTTTCATGAGTTTTTAAGATCTTAATCATGAGAAAACCATACAATTCTTTATAAACGAATATAGCTTAAGAAAGAAAAAAATTGCAAGAGTTTTGTACTCATTATGTACCAGAGAGACAAAAATTTAATTAACAGAATTAACATTTTAGTTTTACAACATATTTACAACTTGAATTCAAGACAATTTTAAAATAATAAATATAGTATTTTAGTGGTTCACACAGTCCACAAAAGAAATAAATAAACATTTAAATAAAATGAACATGTGCTTATTTACCACAGTATGTCTTCCGTATGTCCTATATAATGCCGCTGTGTCCCATTGGTATAATGATGTAAAATTGCAATGGCACCAACGTAATATGCTAATTCTCCGGAAGCCAACATGAACAAATTTCGACCTGGATCGAGGCCATGATACCCATGTCTGGTACTGAATAAAGGAAGACAAGCATAGAAAATTGGCAGCAACTACTTTTTTGAAAGGTTCATATTTTGAGGAAATACATTTCGAAAAGGCTTTTTAAGTCTGTACAATAATTTGAATATAAAACAGGATTAGTAAATATTTTTTTTTGAAAATTAATTTAAAATGTTCATGAAGTGGGTTTGCTAGAAAATATAATGTGTGAAATGGTTTCCAATAATTAAGAAGTAAAAGTACGAAGCAGTGATTTTTAAAAAGAAATTCGAAGTTTGTGATATTTCTGCATATTAACCGAAATTTAACCGAAATTCATATTTATATATATCAAAGGACAACACTCGTACAAGATAATTAAATTTATCATGAAAACCGCTAGTTCGAAGTTATTTTTTAATATGGGCCTGAATTAAGAAAAAATCCTTTTAAGATTAAAAAAGTTTGTAAAATGGTTATAAGATCTCCTTTAACATATGACAGTGCCAAAGCTATTTATAGAAAAAAGATCAGTTTATGTCAAGCGGAAATAGTAATAATACTGAAAGTGGGTCACCTGTGTTTCGTAGATGCTGGAACTAATATAAACGCCTATGCTTTGTATATTTTGGAAAGAGTATATAAATATTCCTAAAACAACATTTCCGAAAAGTATAGTGAAAAAGTTAGGGACAGTAGATATAGATTTCTTCACTTCTTTACCCACCGGGAACAATAGAAAACACGTTACGAAGAATAAGATCATCCTAACAGCGGATGAAAGACAACAGCTTTCATTTTGCCCTCGAAATTTGATGAAGAAAGTCTCTAGACAAAGTAACAAATAATGTACGTATGCCCCTGCTTTCCGGCACAAAAAGGAGCATCACATTTTGTAAGCCATTGCATGAGCTAAATTGAAATGATAAAAGCATATTTTATTTAAATTTAAAGGCAATTCAACAACAGCCTTCTTAAATGAAATTCAGATATACGACATGGAAAAAGCAAGGTAGATGACATCATTCCTCAAATATCTGTCAATCATACATAAACATTAAATAGCCAAAATGTTACACCTTCTTAACGGTATGCCGGTTTGTCTCCAGCATGAACGACAGCTTAATATACAAAGGTATGCACGGTGCGTCTACAACGTTTTAGAACCAAACAGTAATTAATAGCATATATCACTATGACATCTCAACTTCCTTTTTCTAAAATGTCGTCTCCACACGGACAGAGCTTTTTATGCACTTAATCGTTTGCTTTGATCACTTAATATTGCTTTCATGGATCTGAATTTAATCACTTTTAATTTTTGTCATGGATTTAAAGTTTTTCCTGTAAAGCAGAAAAAAAAAAAAAAAAAACAATTATGGGATCATTCCAAAAGTTATAGTAAACACACAAAAATCAAGCATTAACATGATTACATGTTTTTGTTCGTACGAACGATTTCGAGAGAGATGCAAAGATGTTGATGATGACCCCAGGAGTGGTCGCCTTTCGCCATCTGGAATATGATATCATCGAAAAAATCGTCACCTGTTTCTTCGAATGATAGCTGAAGAGCTTAACATCAGTAAAGACACTGTTTATAAAACTGTCGTGGAAGAGAATGAAAAAAAAAAATTTTCACCCCCCCCCCACTGACTGCAGAATAAAGGCAGGATACAATATCAGTATATCATGATTTGTTTCGAATGGCAAACATTAATCTATATTTTTTTTTCAATACATTCTAACAGGATATGGAACTTTTATGATTGTGAAAGAAAACTGCAGCCATCCATTTGGGGTGGAGCTATTTCACTACGGCCACAGAAGCTTCGATTTCAGAAATCTCGGAAAAAGAGCATGTTGGTGAATTCTTTTGATCGAAAACGCATAATTATCAGGATTTTGTTTTGCAGGGACAAACGATAAACATCTTTCTATAATAAAGGAGTAATAGACAGACTTTTGAAGGGAATTCAGCATGTTTAGCCTGAAAACGCTCAACTAAATAACTCATTTCTGTAGCACTACAATGCTCCGTTAGAAATTCCATTCTCCTCAAACAGTTTATAGAAAAGAAATGTGGTACAATTTTCAACCCCATTTATTCACCTAATTTTGCACTAGCTGACTACTTTCTCTTCCCTGAAGTCAAGTCCTTATTTTAACAGAACTAAAAAGATACAGAAAACCGTAACTAGAGACTTAAACACAATTTCAAAAGATGAGTTCTAAAAAAGATTCAGGCAGCTGTGTGAACGTTGAACAAAAGCGTTGATTAATAAAGATTGCATGTTGAACGGTAAGATGCAAGAACGTTATTTTCTTCATCTTGCGGTTTTGTACCAGCTTAGATATATAATTTTGTAAACACACGCATATTACGTAAGATGGTGAAGCATAGCTACAGTAACTGCACGTCGCGCGTGTTACAACATTGCCTACAGGTCAAGCCTAGACATTTTGCTGGCTTTATAGATCCATTATTTCCCACAAAAGAGACTGAAATAGATAACACAATTACTATTCAAAAACACAGACAGGTACAGCAGAAATATTTCAATTTTAAATTTAGTAAAGTTTGCCAGTTTTGAAGTTTTAATCATTATTTAAAAATAATGTATTTTTAATTATTTTTTTTAAATCAGGTTAATGTTTTTACTTAATTATTCTTTCCGCTAATACGGTCGTTTAAATTTCTCGTAATTAGCAGCAATTAGCAGCAATTACAGCTGAAAAATTATTCTGACAAAAAGTCTATTTTTTGCTAATTTTCCTATTTCTCTCTCACTTTCGTTTTCAAGTTTTGTGAAAAATTCTCAACATGGCAGCTTTCTATTACCTTGTCAGATAAAATACGACAAATCAGTTACTAAAAATTTCTTACCCTTGGTTTTAACAACCATTTAAAATATAAATTCCAGTCTGTAATACTGTTGATCGGTATAGCCTTTTAATGATAGCTAAATAACGGAATATTATTGGTCTTATATAATATTTCTTTACCTTTGCAATCACACGATACCGAACATTTTTCCATAAGTCATCTTACCGTATCTTAATCATACAATATACAAACACAAGTACTAAGACATGAAATAAAAGGATACACCCAAGCTATTTCTAAACGCTTGTTTGGAGGACTGTTGTTTGTAGTTTTGGTCTGCGTTGCATCTTTCTTGGCATTCTTAGGTTGAGTACGTGAATTATTTGCTTGTCCTTTAGATGTCCGTATCGGTTTCCGCGTTCTCACTGTGGGAGATACACGGATTGTATCGAGTACTTGGCTTGTTGTATCTGAAGGATGATCGTTGTTTGTTGAGACTTCATCAGCCATCAGATTAATGTCACCTGAAATTATTAAAAAATAAGGTAGGTATATATACAGTTCAAAAAGATTAAGACCTAAAAGACAGAATTTTTACAAAAAAAAAAAAAAAAAAAAAAAAAAAAAAAAAAAAAAAAAAACACCACTGTATTCAATTCTCATGGTGAAAATGTAACTGGGAAAAATTATTGAATTTATTATTAAAATTAATATGTTTTGTAGTATTTATAGAAGTATGCCCCTGAAATATATTGAGAGCTACATCTTTTCAAATAAAAAAAAATTTCGAACTAACACATCTTACATCTTAATTTACAAGGGCATTTAAATGAGTTCAAAATTCAGTCGTCCATAAATTTTTGAAAATAAACTTTTTTCTCTCACTTTTTCATTCCTTTAACATATTTTAGAGAGAAAAAGTCACCTGCGTGCATTCTGAATAAAAATAGTGAGTCAAAATTTTTTCCTAATTCTCTTATGAGTTAAATTACAACCACTAAATTTCAAACAAATGCTTTTCTAAAATTAATTTGTTTTTATGGTTATGTTTCTAAGAAAACATTTTGTAGTTGAAATAAAGTATTTATTTAGTGAAATCAACTCTGAAATACGCTATTTTGAGAGTGACATGTAACATTCCGTTTAGAGATAATACACAAGCACATTAAAATTTAGTGAACCTAAACTAAAATCTACATGAAATGGCCTTTAAGTGCTGCTAAATAAATAGTTTGTTTGAAAAATGCACAAGAGACAAAATTTCAGAAGTGATAGTGACGGTCGCAGTTGGCTTAATAAGGAAGTAGCCTGGCGGCAAACACGCGCCACTAAGGACTCCTAAGCTCTCCTACTGATGTAAGCTGAACCTGTATGACTAGCGATCTGAAAATCCTCTTATTATGGGGAAAGGAAAAAAAAAAAAGAAAAAGAAAAGATGTTTTAAGAATTAAAATGGTATTGGTGTGCTGTACTGGCGGAAAACAAACAAATCAGCCTGAATGACATTCGAAATAGCTAATTGGATTAAACGCCCCCCCAAAAAACCCTTAAACCCCCCCGAAAGGTTTTGCTTTTCAGAGAGAAATCCACATCCCCCGCAGGCATAGTTAAAGTGGAAAACATATAACGTTCCTAATTACTTCGTCTATGCTGAACGTAGAGGAACACCTATTGAGCTGTGTAGCGACTTATCTCTGAGTTCACGTGTGTAACGACAAAGTCCAGAGAAGGGTTAAAACACCCTTTTATTCTCTCAAATAAATAATAACAGTTGGCCCTTCTCAGGCTTACAGGAATGTCCTTACCTCGGCTTTAAATCAAGATAAGAAAATAAGTCCTATACTAAACTAAACTGACTTAGCCGAAGCTAGACACAATTACCTAACGTAGTAGGCCCTTAATTAATTTAGCCGGAGATTATCAACAGGCACGTACAATACGGCCGAGCGCAGTTGGCTTAATAAGGAAGTAGCCTGGCGGCAAACACGCGCCACTAAGGAATCCTAAGCTCTCCTACTGATGTAAGCTGAACCTTCATTAAATACTCCTTCTACCTCATTTACATGCAACGCGATACTAAAATCTCATTCCGGTAGGGAGTTGTAAGTGGGAAACAAGAATTTAAAGGAGAAGGTTTGAAAATTAAGAATAACTGTTATAAAATTTAAATAAACCTTACAAACATAAAATCACTTTCCCGCTCCACCAACATTTTTTATTTGCATGATCAAGGTATAATTCATGCATTCGAAATTATGAAAAAAAGCTTGTACTCGGCCATATTTTATAAAAAAATGTCCACTAGTCCGGACAACCAGATATTAACGAAACCCGAGACCGTTATATAGACTCGTTAAAAAAGCTGGGCCGAAGAAGCAAACTTCGCCAAGACATCTTTTAAGACAAGGTCAATACTGAACAATTAGTCTCAAGGAGTCAGGTCCTCAACAGCAGGGACTAAATGACACAGAAAATATTTGAGAAACATTAGAAAGAAGCTAGAGAAATCTGACTGGAAAGCTGATTTGATACCAGACACAAAATTTTTCAGCGAATTCCCTATAAAATCTAGTTCATTAGCGATCGAGAAACAAAATTGCTATTTTAAAATTTCGTATTACTGTAACGTTTATATGAGCTAGCTTCCCTTAAAAAGTTCTCCCCGAATGCATCTTCTCTTAAGAAAGTAGCCTTCCAAGTCTTATAAAAACAAGATTCAATATTCAATCATACAACGCATGAGTGGACATTACTAATACAACGATCAAAAGACTCAAAATTTTAGTAACTGAAGTTAACCTCAGCTAGTTTCAGATGAAACAGTTTTGATCTGATAGATTCGCGAACAGGCAGAACTAACGATACTTCACTCAAAAAATCTTTATGTTAAAACTGGTTTGAGCCTTCATCCACTTACTTAGAAATGTTGCAATACTCACATACTGCTAATGTTTTTATCAATAAAAAACGATCTCAGATAACCAACTTACATTTTAATATATTGTTTCTTCAAAAAAGAAAAAGAAGGGGGAGAACAGAGAGAGGTAGAAAGAAAAATAAATAAATATGCAGCGTCAGAGAATAAGCACATACAACATTCATTTAGGATTGCAAATAAGTGAGGTTTATTTATTGCGTAAAATTTGAAACAAAACGAACATAAGTAAGTTTCTGGCTCTTTTTATTCATTAAATTTTTATTTCTTTATAATATACATTATATTAAAATCATAAAACACCAGATTCTTACTACTTGTTCATGTTGGTGTCTGATTACTTAAATGCCTAGGAGCAACAAAATTATGCAGTCTGGTTGGTTAGTCGAATATAGCGAAAGCTGCGATGAGCATATGACTAATAAGAGGGCTGTCATTGTAAAGGACTTTCAAAGGGAAACTGGCTCGTATAGCATTATACATATAGTAACTAAGAAAACATACCAGCACTTAGCCAGTTCACTGGAATTTAAAGTTGAGACAAACTACAAAATCAAGCTGAATATCATTGTACATATTATTATCAATAAATTTCTCGAGAAATATCGAATACAATTTCTTTTTCTTGAGTAATGAAAATTGGCAAAAAATATTAAACATTAGTACTCAAATAATTATCAACAAAATTGCATTATGAAGGGAATTTCTGGGTACCACGCTTTCAAAAAAGAAATTCTTTTCTATTGGAACTATAAGCACTCCATATTTTAAGCTCATGATATTTCGAAAAATTGCATTGAGGAAATAATAAGAGACAAGAAAAAAATATATCAATATATACAAATTCTATATCGAATCTTTCGTAACAAATTGATTTAAAAAGAGCTTACAGATTAATTCTAAACACACGAGAGGCTGCAAAATCATGTTCCGTTTTTCATCCGAAAGTTTACCTGGTGTAAAGACATCACTTTAAAACTTTTAAATGGAAAACAATAAAAGAAGATTCATAATTCTTTATTTGCTAAACAGAAAGACAAAGAAGTCTCTACACACACTACTATTTATTAAATTTGAAGTTTTGTTACAGTTTAGTTGACAGCAGATTCATTTAATATTTAACATACAGGATTATAAATTTAGTAACACGCAAAATTAGGTTACATATGAAAAGATAAAATCATTCACTACTTTCAGAACGGTAGCACATGCAATTTGGTTTCTTAAAATGGAAACGCCTCCTTTTTCCACCTGTGTTCTAATAGCTCCAAAAAGATAAGACTTAGCAAGAAACAAAATCTTGTCATATTTTATTGATAATTTTACTTTCAGGCATCAGAAATTACTTGTTGACGATGATGGATTGCTCTTAAAGCGCGGCTTGAGCCTTATGTAACACAAAATTCTTTCTCACGCTAACTCTAAAGCTATCATGGTAAAATAAAATGGGAAAAAATCTACGCTCCATTTTGCTAAGATCATAACACTAGGTCAATGAAAGGATATTGCATTGTTTGCTTTATTGTAGATTGCTAGCCGCAAGTTCTTTATAATTATATTTCATTACTACATAATACGTTTTCCCTTGAAACTGCAGTTAAAAGTAAGATGGTTGTTTTAAATATGATATTGTGACGATAATTCTGATTGTAAGAAATAGAATGATCAGTAATAATTTTTGCACTTCTGCTTCTACTGTGTCAGATATTTCTAATCTATTCAAATCTTGTCATAAAACAAACCTCAGAAAATGGATTTTCCTTCCCTTTTTCACACACACACACACAAAAAAAAAAAAAAAAAAAAAGATAAACGACGAAGCTTAGCAGGAAAGAAATACAATTTTTAGCCAATTTTTTTGTTTCAAAACAGATGAAGGCACAGCATGTCCTCAGTAAATTTTTGGTATACGGAGCCGATGGCACATCATTTATCCACCTAACTTAAAACACAACCCAGTCAGCATTTATAAGCCGCCCAAATGGTATAGCGGTTAGCGTCGCAAACTGTCGTGCCGAAGGGCACGGGTTCGAATTCCGGAAGGCATGGATGTTTGTAAATGTATAGTGTCCGTGCGGCATGGGGGCAGTTCAAATATACGGTAGGGGAAGAGGATTGGGAGACCCTCGAACCAGTCCTCCGGGGGTGCTCTCCATCAAAATTGGGGGTGGCGAAACTAAGCTAAATCGCACTGTCACCTATAAGGTGCTCAAAGCTGTTGCCAATCACATGCGTAAACTTGCGCTCTGTGGCAGGCATTTCTTGGGCTTGAGCTGACTATATCAGACAAGTGAGCATTAGTAACAACAACAACAGTAAAAAAATGAAAGCAATTCATGTTTAAAATGTAATTTCTTTTGAAAGTATCTAACATCTAACCAGCTTTGTAAGTACATTTACTCTATGTCTGAATCACACCCATACAGCTGATTGGCTAACTTATTTAGTCAAAGCACACAAGGCTACCTGCCTAAGGAGAGACGCTTTCGTGGTGGAATTCCTGATGAAAACTAGTTCGTATTTATGTAACGTATAGGGAAATGTCTCAGGAAAACCACAGTCCTTCCATCCATCGGGCTTTTAATCTACTTGGTGACTAATGGTCCAACAGATACATGGATAGATACTGAATGACATACACTTCATGGGCTTCAAGTGATTCGCTTAGGTGGGCTATGGGCAAACAAAGGGGCAACCTTGATTAACGCAGTTAAGCTATACCGAGTAGACTACCGAGCGACTAAACGGCCCACCACCAAGCAGCGGGGTATGAGGAATTCCTTGGTGGTAAGTCTAAACTTCAAACTCACAAAGCAGTACTCGGCAGTGGATAATTTGTCCCGATTAACGATGCTTGTAATAATGCCGTTCTGTCGGAACAGATATGCGTGAGTCTTACAGACCGGTGAGGGCCACTGAGGCCTTGAGTCCGGTTATTTCCAAACATATTTTAAATGGATACAAAGTTCCTGCCATTAGAATGAGACAATTAAATATCTTATTCGTACAGATTTCACTTTATTCTCTCTTTCTTCTACGTGATATAGTACTGTCAACAGAAAACCTAGTTAGGGAAACTCAGTCTATTTTACGTGCGTTTGAACAAATTGCAGACATTCAATTTACTTAGTTCAAGGTCACAGTGGTATTCACGGTAATAAAAGAGCTAACCCAAATGATGTTTGCTCTCAAATCTTATTTAGAATCATGTTACTTGGCAAAACTGTGGGTGACTGGAATGCTGATTACTTTGTTTCATCGAAAGCACAGTGGGCAAATACATTTTTTCAGTTTTCCAGTGTTTTATGTGTATGCATATTCAGCCGGATTATAAACTGACTCAGATTTAAAAAAATACTTATTTAATTTTAATATCGTGACCAGGAGATTTTGTGCTTGCGGGATGTCGTAGAGATACAGAGCACATCTTATCGTACTGCACGTTATAAGCGAATGCCAGAACTACATTTAAGGCGAGTTTAAGGCATCTCACCATTAGCTGGTATCTTATTTTTTCCGACCCTGTCAAGAGTTCTGAGGCTTTTTGCTGTCTCGTGCAATTTTATTTTTTGTTTTTATTATTATGTATTACTATTTTTTATGTATTATTGGATTTGCGCTATGTATTTTTAGTTTATGTATTAATGTATTGTATTTTTGTTGTATTATACCTCATTAGCATTATTATTTTTGCATTATTGTTATCATTATACATTCCGTTATACAAGGTACTCCATAAACCGACAATTTTTTATAAATAAGAAAAATATTATTAACCTTAGAATAAATTTATCAACTTATCACATTTAAAATAATCACTAGAGGAGCATACACAAACTTTTTTTCAGATCATCAAAACACTGTTTATAGGCTTTGTAATTAACTGTTCGCAAAATATGCGTAAATCATGATCTAATATCCGAAACGTTTTCAAATCTCTGACCTTTCATCGCCATCTTAAATTTCGGAAAAAGAAAAAAATCAGCTGCCGATTAGTCGGTAGAATATGGTGGGTGATTTATCATTGCAACTGAACGCTTATCAAGATATTATTGTACACACAATGCTGTTTGGAGCCTAGCATTATCGAACACTAAAGGAAAAAAAAAAAAAAAAGCTCCAAATCAAAAATGTCATTCCTACTCGCCATATTCTGCTTCATAATCAAAAAAGCGGCTTCTTGTAAAAGTACTGACCAATTGATTGATTTTCAGACTCAAATTCATGGTGAAAAAGTGCTTTACAATTAAAAAAATGCAATCACCATCATATTAGTCTTTGATTTCGACCTTCATACATTTTTTTTTTTTTTTTTAATATGGGAGAAGACGTCCCTTTCCCACTGTGCACTTTACCTTTTTGTTTCTGGGTCGTACTGTAGACACCAATCTCATCTTCCGCTACGTTATTCTTTAAGAAATTATTTTCCTGTCTCGCGGTAATCAGCAAATCTTCACAGCAAGCTTTTCTGTCTTCGTTTTGCTGTTCAGTCAAAATCCGTGGCACAAATCGAGCACAAACGTTTCTAATTTTCACATTTTCAATTAAAATTAGCCTACAGTTTTCTTTGCTATTCCAAGCATGTCATGAGTTGCTGAGTTGTTACACGTCTATCAGCTTTACCAAAGAACAAATTTTCTCCGCGTTTTCTTTGTTTCTGCACGGCGCCGTACCTTTGGTTCATCTTCAACACTTTCGCGCTCATATTTAAAGAGGTTGCACCACTCATACACTTGTATTTTTGATAACGATGCATCACATTATACTGAGCAAATGATCTCTAACATTTCAGTAGCAGATTATTTAATCTGTAATAAAATTTAATCTTATAACGTTGTTCCATCTCGAAGCAAAGTTTTTTGTACAATGACTTCTCAATAAATGAAAATGACCCCGGCGTTCTGACATGCAAACGACAAAATAACCAATTTAAACCGGCTTTAACAATAGTTGCAATGTCACTCTTTCTAAATATACATTTATTCTTTCACTTTTTGTTTTATTGTTTGGTCTTTAATTTGGCGGTTAACTTTATAACCGCACTTTGTGGATTATTATAGCAGTATCACATTTTAGTTCCCTTATTACAGTATTATTTCTCTCTCTCTCTCTCTCTCTCTCTCCTTATTTCCTCCAGAACATTACTTCTGTAGGCCTCGTGGACACACAAGGAGCTTTGTATTTGTTTTCTTAAACACATACACCACCACCAACAATAATAATAATACTTTTTGACTAAATGTCACAAGTATGTCTCAGGTTAGAGAATATGGTAACTAATGTAATCCGTACGAAAGCAATGATAGTCTATAATATGTCTGATATGAATTTGTGAGGTATGTACCCAGAGCATCCAATAAACTAGCCAGTATAAGACACTGTTTTTTCTGCAGAGTACTACGGGGGGGGGAATATACCTGCTCCCTTTTCGCGCATCATTGTGTTCCCCGTACTTATACCTATCTACCTACCTTTAAAAATAAAAGTTATGAAAAGAAACCTTTTGCTTACAAATAAAATATATGCATTGCTCTTAGATATTAAGGAACAAAATTTTTCACTCTTATTTTCTTCAAGTTCCATTAAGCATGAGATTTGTAAAGATCTCTTTCATACTTCCTGTGTTTTTCCTTTTCTAGTTCGATTACTATTAATAGAAAAAGGTGTTGAAGCCTTCATTACAGGAAAGTAAAAAGTTCTGAACACCTAACCGAGACAGAATAATAAATTTCGCCTTGGTTTCATGCCAAAGGAAAATTGTCTCATTAGAATTCTGTAAGAAAGATCATTTTTATTTAGTTGAAAGCAAAAGTCAAGAACATAACAATTTGCCAATTAAAACACGTTAACTGATTAATTAGCTCCGTATACTTCTTAAATACTTAACATGTGAACAAAAAAAATTACAGATAAAGGAACTATTTCTTCTCCATCAGAATTCTTTACTTGGTGTATCAGAATAAAAATTTTAAAATGGTTAATATATAATAAAATACGAGAGCAACAAAAACTATAAAATCGAACTCCTCTCATTTCACGAATGTATCACAATAAAAAGAAATATTATACATACACACACACACACACACACACACACACACACACACACAAACACACGCACGCACACACATTTACATATTGTTGATTGAACACTTTATGCTTCTGTCGTTAAAATTAGAATTCGCAAAAGCGTACAGCTTTCAAAAATTGCAGACAAGTAAATAGCCTATGTGACCCGCATATATTTTTAATTCCCTTACCATTCCGTTCCCCTGGCCAATGAACGGTCACTGTAAATATATGCAGCTTCCTCTCTTCTCGGAATACCGCTGTTTTGAATACGAAAGAAAAAAACCTCAAATAACAGGGTGGTTACTCAAACATATTGATCGCCAAATGATATTCATTTGTGACGCTTAGAACCGGTTTTAAGGTCAAAAAGAAGACGCGTAGCAGATACATCCATAGCAGCAAGTTATTAGTGTAATGGAATTTACCAGTTTGAAAGGCGTACCTGATAGATTAGGTAGACTTCCAGCCTGTATGGGTCCCGATTCCCTGGAGTGCTTGATGTTATTCTCGTTTACGTCCATGGAAAAATACCCGTCTTCACTCTTCTCTCGAGCAATTACGGTGTTGTTATTGTTATCTTCGGTGTCTATGTAGAAGGTTTCACATTTTTTCAGCTCATGTTTCAACTGGGAAAAGCTGCGAACCTAAAATGGAAAAATATATAAATAAGTAAATAAATAAAATAATGACATATAAGTGATAACTACTAAGCCAATTCAATCTCTTTGTTAAGAAGTGCATTTAAAAATTGAAGTATATTAAATTAAAATGGTAATATTTCACGATCACATTATTTTTAAGAACATGACATCCAAATTCCCAAGAAGATAATAGCTATCTTGTCACCTGTTATGCTGACGATACAGCGACCACAACATCCTCACTAAATCCAAACTATGCTATCAAGAGATTCCAAAAGAAAATCTCCAGCTTCGACGCGTATGTCATATGGTGAATCAGCATTAATAAAACAAATCTTAAATGGTTATTAATCAAAATGCACAAGAAAAAAAGCATAATCTATGACCTTATCTGTTTTGGCAAAAAATAACAAAAGTTCGCATTGCAATTTACCTATATTTAACATACATCTCATCTGGATTGCTCACACTAATCGGTAATTATCGGTAAAGCAATACGCATCCTTACTAGGGCTAAGTTTCTTCTATGCAGGACTTCCCCTTAGGTTCGCTGCAAGAAGACAAAAATTTCAACTAACTATTATTTGGTCTATTATCGCATATGCTTCCCAAGCATGAATGATTGCTTCTCTGAAATATTTTAGAAAACGTAAGTCTCCCAGAACAAGATTTCACGTCACGTTACTCCTGCGCCATAACTTATTAAAAAAAACCTTAACTAATTGTGACATAAAAACTGAATTTTCTCACGAACTCGTGCAGAGATTGAATTTAAAACTCTTAGACAAAGCACTTAACTGTGCTAAAGATAATTATTCTACCAATTTCGACTACGCCATCTTCTCAGAACTATGCTTTACGGTCACACAAATAAGGCATAAAGTTGGAAGCAGCTACCTGAGTGTGATTACCTAAGTGTCCTGCCCTTTTCCGGATTCATTTGATGTTTTTCCTTCGGATAAGGCATCTCTTGGCTTCATCCGTGACCGCAATAAAATACACCAGGGCGCGATGTCAACCCTTGCTAAAAATTGAATATTTCCTACTGCGTATTGTATCAGTTGATGTTTATGAGGCTGAGAGAGGTCTTTAGACAGTGAACATCGGAAGCATCAAACATCGTTCGATGATAAAGTTATCGATCAAAGGACACTACTAATTATAGCACTAATTATTCATGAACACATGCCTGAAATTTATAGTGATAGTGTAGTTTCCTATCCCACCGTCAAAAGATACACTGTCATGTTTTAGGCAGAGAAGAACGTCACTCGAAGGTCACCCTAGAAAATTCACAATGTGAAAGCGACCAGCAAAGAATAGAAAATGAGCTGCATGAAAGTTGAATATGTTGATCATATGCATACTCCAGTTGAGTAACATGAATGCTGACGCCCGGAATTAACAAAAACCATGTTGATGGTTTTCGAGAATTGCTCTGTAAGGTAGATGGCGATGAAGAAAAGGTTTACTCTCAACTAGTGATAGTTAGTGAGACATTCCCCGTTGAGACACAGACAAGGGAGAATGGTTCAGATGTATAGTGGTTCTCCTCGACCACATAAGTTTAGAATACTAAATCTACTATGCAGACCCTCGCCACCATTTTTTTGAGATGAAAATGGACTTTTCCTCATTGAATTGTCACTAATTAACGCTTCACTAATTAATAGTACGTGTTCATTATGGTGCTTACTGCTGACTCAGTTCCCAATATACCATTAAGGGAAATCACCGTAGTAAACTCAGAGCGTTTGCATAAGAACAGACTCGCATATAAGGCTCAGTTTTCCAAATTACTGTTTAGCAGCGCAGATTCCATTTCTCCCCCACCAACCACATTCATGAGACGATCCAAACAATCCTATTTTACTAAAAACATTGAAGCGACATGAGCATGGCTCCTATTACAGCAACAACGTTGATGTTCAGGATTAGTTTCAGGGATATGATAAAAGGTTCTTTTTCGTTGTTATTTGACGCTAACTGATAGAAGTGCTACATGCATCGGAGTCAAAAGAAATCCCGTAAAAATCTAGGTACGTTATTTGAAAAAAATGTTTCATGCAAATGTGCCAGGCTGAAAACCTCTTCAATTCCCCTTGTATATTTACTTTAAATATATGAAAGTAATCGGAAAAAACACATCAGATCTTCGATTTTGTTGTAAGATTTAACATCAAACTAAATACGGATTCTCAGATAAATTTAATTAATTATACTGAGCTCCGGATAATTAATACCCGGAGCTATACAGTTAACAGGAGCCATGCATTTGTAGAAGACTTGCGTTATACATACATACTAAAGTATTTAATAATTTTGATCTAATGCAGTAGCACATTCAAAAATGTAGTAACTACATGCATTCTTACATTTAATAAGATACGAAAAAAATCTTAAAAAATGTAAGAATGTTATAATTCAGCAAAATGTGACATAATATCGCATTTCTGCTCCCAATTTAACACTCAGTAAGACAGATTTCTGTTCAATATATGTTCGTAAATGGCTAACAAGCTGCTGGGGCCTCTGTTATAGTACAGTTATATTACACTGGTGTGCAAAAATTAAGGACAAAGTCGAAAAATTAGCATATCAGCTGAACGAAGAGGCAGAGCGGTCAGAAAGACCAATCAGGAGATTAAGTAAGGTGATTGTACGGTACCACATGCGCAGATATGCAGGTAGACGTAATGGGGGAGTGTCTGAGTAGTATAAAGCATGTTGTCGGTGTAAGATCAGTATTTCTGGCAAAGAGATTGCACGCCGTATAGCAGATAAAATCACACCGAGTTGCTGCCTCAGCGAGAAATGGCGAATAATCAATCTGTTACACGACATCTGGATGCTTTTACCCGAGGTCGAATCATTGGGAAGTTGGAGGAAGGCCGCAGTGTGACAAGTGTGGCTGCAGAGTTCGGAATTGCTCACAGCATCGTTTCACGACTTTGGAGACAATTTCAAACTACAGGAACAGCTATCCGGGGGTTTAGCAGTGGTCGTCCACGAGGAACCACACCCGCAGATGACCGGTATATTGCCTTACAGGCCAGAAGAAACAGGCGGCAGACAGAGGAAGAAATCGCTAGACACACGACACGGGCGATTGGGCGACCGATATCGCGTTTTACTGTGGCCAGAAGACTGCTCGGTGGTGGTCTGTTTGCACGACGCCCTGTACGGTGTGTACCTCTAACGCCTGCCCATCGGAGAAGGCGTTCTCTGTGGTGCCGGGAACACCGAAATTGGAGAGACAATGAATGGGGATGAGTACTCTTTACAGATGAGAGCAGATTCAGCCTGAGTAGCGATTCTCATCGCAAACTCATCTGGAGAGAGCGGGGAAGCCGCAATCATCCCTCGAACATCATTGAAAGGGACAGGTATGGAGGTGGCGGTGTTCTCGTTTGGGGAGGCATCATGTTTGGTAGTCGTACAGACCTTCACATCTTCGACGCAGGTTCAGTCAACGGGACCCGTTATTGTAACGAGATTCTTCTTCCATATGTGCGTCTTTTTTAGAGGCGCTATGGGTCCGCAGTTCCTTTTCATGGACGACAATGCACCATGTCATCGCACAGTAGCTGCCGAACAGCTCTTAGAGAGTGAGGATATTGAACGTATGGATTGGCCGGCACGATCTCCGGATCTCAATCTCATCGAGCATGTATGGGATTTTCTAGGCAGACGCTTGGCAGCTCGTACCTTACCACCAGTAACGATTCCGGAGCTTCGATTGGCGCTGCGAGACGAATGGGCAGCAATGCCTCAACAACTCATTGACACCCTCATTCTCAGCATGGGCAGACGCTGTGAAACCAGCCTAGCAGTCAGGGGAGATCATATCCCCTATTAAAGACCGGGTGTTTCTTGCTGGACACCCATCACAGGGATGTTTCGGCCTTCAGTCGCATTGCGCTCCATGCTACTTTTTCAATAAAGTTTCTTTTTTTCCCTCTGATTTCTCTTTTAGTAAGTGTTGCTTACATTACTCATGTCCTTACGTATTGGGGATCTTACGGTATTAAATGTGTTGATTTGGAAAGCTTTAGTACAAAGTTATATTGAAAAAACCGTCTCGTCCTTAATTTTTGCACACCAGTGTATTATGTACAGAAACTTAAATGGTATTAGTAAGAAATTTTAATTCCTGTCACATTATTTGCGAGCAACGATACGTTCGTCAAACAGTCAACGAAAATTAACTGAAACATTACATATATATGTATAAATTCAATTTTTATTTATATTAAAATACATATAACTTTTTTTCTATTGCAAATAATTGAATTTTGTGTTTTGTATTGAATTCAGTAATAAATTTTCTTTAAAATGATATATACAAGTTTGCATTTTGCGAAACGTAACATTTTCTATAAGCATACAAATTTCCAAAACATAAAAATTTCCGAAAGTGTCCACAATTTTGGCCACCACTGTATATATACCGTACTTCTGGCGATTTTGCCGATTTTCTAAGACCATGTTCGCAACACTTTTTTCTAGGATAGACCATTTCTTTACTCTTTAGCGTATTACTTATCGTTATTTCATTTCTCTTCCACTCATGCATGGAAGCTTTCACAAACACCAAACATCCTTGCTGAAGCACTATTTCCCTTTTCTTGCACAAAACGAATGACTCTGCATTTGATACCAGCACTACGTTTATTTCGTTTGCAGAGGTCGTATTTACTATTAAAATGAACACCAAATCAACTGTTTTAGATATAATCTAGAGAAAATTTAATTTCTTTCAGACGTCCAAATTCACTTTCTTTTTTTGTTCATATAACAAAGTATGAAGCCAAGTTCCATAAAAATCGTGAGAAATTCTAAGAATAAGAATAAGAAAAAGTCGGGAAATATATATGGTAAATCGGGTTGGCGGGAGATCGGTCGAAAATCGGGAGTCTCCCGCCCAAATCGGGAGAGTTGGCAACTCATTCTTCGAATGAATGACTTCAAAAGATACGTACTTACATATGAATATACCTAAA